TCCACATAATTGTACCTGCCCCAATTGATGAACCACCAAAACTATGGAAGCCCAGACCCCCGGCATGATTGGAAACCCAACCACCGCTAGCCCCCTCCCCCAATTCTGGCCTCTGGGGGGGGAGTGCGAGGAGTGTGGTGGGATGGGGCGGCCCCTCCCCTCCCTTACCTCTTTCCGGAGGCCCCCCACCACCCCCCGCCGTGCGCGCCCCCGCCGCCCGCCCCTCCCCCGGGCCCCAGGACGGCCAGCCTCTCCTCGGGGCTGAAGTGCAGGACGGTCAGGATGGCGCCCAGGGTCTGCTGGCGGCCCAGGCCCTCGGCCAGCGTCAGGAAGCGGAAGAAGACGTTCTTGAGGTACTCCAGGTTGGCGCCCTCCCGGCCCTGCTCGCGGGCGCTCTGCCGCAGCCGCTCCCGCAGGGCCCCCAGCTCCTCCCGGTGCGCCTCCTCCGCCGCCAGGAGCCGCTCCCGCAGCCGCCGCGCCTCCCCCTCCAGCCGCCGCTTTTCCCGCTTCAGCCCCGCCAGCTCCACCGCCCGCCGGGCCAGCTGCTCCGTGTACAGCAGGAAGGGGGGCTCCCCGGGGCCCCCCGAGAGGCGCAGCGCCTGCGTCAGGTCCTCCTGGGGGGCCGAGGGGTCCGGCAGGGCCGGCGGCAGGGAGGGCGAGGGGGGGCGGGGGGGCCCCGGGGGCGGGCCGGCGGCGTAGGGCCAGGCCAGGGTCCGCAGGCGCTCCAGCTCCAGCTCCTTCTCGGCCAGCACGGCCAGGGCGCGCTCCCGCTGCCGGCGCAGCTCCTCCTCCAGCCGCAGGGCCTCCTCGCGGGCCTCCCGCCGGGCGCGCTCCACCTCCTCCCGCTGCCGCTGCTGCCCCCGGGACGCCTCCTGCCGCTGGGCCTCCGCCTGCTCCCGCTGCCGCTGGGCCTGCTCCTCGTGGGAGAGCCGCAGGGCCACGTAGGTCTCCTTCAGGGCCGCCAGCTGCGCCCGCAACTCCGCCAACTCCCCCTCCCCGCTGCCCCCCTCGCTCCCCCCTGGGGCCGGCTGCCCCCCACCGCCCTTCTGCGCCCAGTGCTGCTGCTGCTGCTGCTGCTTGTAGTGCTCAAACTCCTCCTTGAGCCGCTTCAGCTCCCGCTGGTAGTAGGCGGCCGAGGAGACCTTCTCCCCGTCGGCCTCTTCTTCGGGCGGCCCCGCCACCTTGCGCAAGGACCACTCTTCCTCCCCCTCCCCCTCGCTCTCCCCCAGGGCCTGCTTGGTGGCCGCCCGGAGCAGCGCCCGCAGCTTCTCTATCCTGTCCCGGAGCACGTTGGCGTCCAGGCCGCTCTCCTCCTCCAGGCCGACGTCCGGCGCTGGGCAGCGGCCGGAGGTGGCCAAGGCCAGCGTCTTGTTCTCCAGGTCCAGCTGGGAGAGGCGCTCGCGCAGCCGCTGCATGGCCAGCTGGTCCCTCTGCTTGGCCCTCTCGTAGCTGCCCAGGAGCTCCGAGGCCTCCGAAATCTGTGCCTCCAGGCCGGCCGCTCGGTCCTCCTCCGCACGGACACGCTCCTCCGCGTGGGCCGTCTGGGGATTGGGGGGAGGGGCAAAAGTGGGAGGGAGGGAGAGGGTCAACATGAAGCTACAGCTGCACTCAAGGAGGATTCATGGCTTCCCTTTTGGTGGCACCACCCACCTGGTCAAGAGCTTCTTCCAACTGCACTGCCCAGGGCTGGACACTGGGCAATAACCAACTCACAGGCACATCCAACCCCCCCTTACCGTATGGAAGAGCCCCAGGTCCTAAAGCAGATGCCCCCAGAGGTGACCAACCCACTGGCCCCCCTCCCTCCCCCCCTCGCCCTCGGGGCCTGACCTTGCGCATCTCCTGCAGCAGCTGGGCCTGGAAGTGGCTCCGGAGGGCGGCCGCCTCGGCCTGCAGCGCCTGCAGCTGGGGGTCGGGGCGGGCGCTCTCCTCCCGCAGGGCCCCCAGCTCCTCCTCCAGCGCCTCCACCTCCCTCTGCAGGCGCCGGGCCCTGCGCTCGGCCTCCTCGGCGCGCTCGGCGGCGCACGCCTTCCCGGCCAGGGTTGCCCGGCTCTCCTCCAGGCCGCGCTCGGCCTCCTGGCGCAGGGCCCTCTCCCCTTGCAGCAGGCGCTGCAGCTCGCGCAGCATGGCGGCGTGGTCGGCCTGCTCCTGGGCCCGGTCGTGCTGCTGCGCCAGGAGCCGGGCCTTGGTCTCCGCCAGCTGCTCCCGGGCCGCCCGGGCCTCCTCCGCCAGCCGTGCGCGCTCCTCCTTGGCCCGCCGCCCGGCCTCCTCCCGCTCCTGCTTCAGCCGCCGCTTGTCCGCCTGGAAGGAGGCCTCCGCCCGGGACTTCTCCTGCGAGACCGTGGCCAGGGAGGCCGTCAGGGTGGACAGCTGGGCCTTCAGCTGCAGCACGCGCCGGCCCCCCTCTCCGGGGGCTTCTCCGCTGCCGCTGCTCCCGCTCTCCTCCTCCGCCCCCACCGCCGATGCCGTCGCCGACGCCTCCTCCTCCTCCACCGCGGGCCCCGCACCGTCCTCCTCGCTCTGGCCGGAGCTCCTGTCCTCGCTGACGTCCAGGCCGAATTCGGAAGCCACCCCCGGCCCGGCGGCCTCTTGGGCGTCCAGCGGCTGGTGGGCCACGGAGAGGACCCTCAGGCTGGCCTCCAGCGCCTCCTTCTCCTTGAGCAGGCCCTTGTAGGCCCGGACCACGTCCTTCAGGCGGGCCTGGTACTGCGCCAGCTGCTCCCGCTGCTGCTCCACCGTCTCCAGGAGGTCCTTCCGGCTGGGACCCCCGCCAAAGCTCACCCCAAACTTCTCCATGGCCACCGGGGGGAGGGGAGGCGGGGGGGTGGGTGGGCCCCAAAGCAGAGAGAGGGGCCCCCTCCCCCCGCTCCCTTTGTCAAGACAGGCGCTTCTGAAGGACGAGGCTGAAAGAAAGAGCCAGGGATTCACAGACTTGTAATCAATAATAGGAAAACTTTGTATTGTCGAAAGCTTTCATGGCTGGAATCACTCGGTTCTTGTGGGTTTTTCCGGGCTATATGGCCATGGTCTAGAGGCATTCTCTCTGACGTTTCGCCTGCATCTATGGCAAGCATCCTCAGAGGTAGTGAGGTCTGTTGGAACTAGGACAATGAGTTTATATATCTGTGGAATGACTGGGGTGGGACCAAGAGCTCTTCTCTGCTGGAGCTAGGTGTGAATGTTTCAACTGACCACCTTCATTAGCATTTGAAGGCCTGGCTGAGCCTGGGAGAATCTTTTGTTGAGAGGTGTTAAGATGTGCCTGGTTGTTTCCTCTCTGCTGTTTTGCTGTTGTAGAGTTTTTTAATACTGGTAGCCAGATTTTGTTCATTTTCATGGTCTCCTCCTTTCTGTCGAAATTGTCCACATGCTTGTGGATTTCAACCACCATGACAGACTACACAGAGAAGCCATTGAAATCCATAAGAATGTGGACAATTTCAACAGAAAGGAGGAAACCATGAAAATGAACAAAATCTGGCTACCAGTATTTAAAAAAACTCTAAAATTACAACAGCAAAACAACAGAGAGGAAACAATCAGGCACATCAAATCACCTCTCAACAAAAGATTCCCCCAGGCACTTCCAAGCCATTAAATGCTAATCAAGGTGGTCAGTTGAAACATTCACACCTAGCTCCAGCAGACAAAAGTCCTTTGTCCCACCTTGATAAACCCCTTCCCAGTCCCAACAGACCTCACTACCTCTGAGGATGCTTGCCATAGATGCAGGCGAAACGTCAGGAGAAGATGCCTCTAGAACATGGCCATAGAGCCTGAAAAAACCCACAAGAACCTAATAGGAAAACTTTATTTATATCCCGCTTTTCTCCCTCACGGGACCCAAAGCGGCTTACCACATATTAAAATCACGTAAACAACTATCCAAATGCATTGATAGTAAGTTTAAAACATCATAAAATAACAACAAAAATACTTGAACAGCTTCTAATGGTTTGAGCTGATCTTAAAGCTGCAGCCAATTCTCTGTTGACCCACGGCACTTCCAAGATGGCGGGTAAACACACAGGAGCCCCGTATGGCTTAAAAGCAGGCTGGACCCATGCAGACAACATGCGCTGCCCTGATCTCCCCCTTGACTTGCCCCAAAGAGGAAACAAAGGCCCATAAAGACCATCTGTGTGGGGAAAGCTGCAGGACAACAAGCCCCCTACTTCAGGAGGGAGGGGGGGAGGGTGCCCCCCCCCATTCTGGGACATAGAGTGCTGTTCTGGCCTCAACAGTCGCCCCTCCCTCCCTCCCTCCCCCTCCCTCCAGCCCCCTTCCTCGCTGCTGATGTGGGTGGGGAAGTGGGGGGATTGGGGGTGAAATGGAGCGTGCCTCCTGGGATATGAGGCACAGGCCTGGGCCGGCTTGGGCCCTCCCTCCAGGGGTTTTGGACTTCAACTCCCACCATTCCTAAGTCTGCTCTTGCCCCCTCCTCCGTCACAAGCCCTCCTTCTGTGGGGCCCTGCCCTTCTTTGAGAATGCCCAGTCAGTCCCTCATGGCTGTGACGCACCCTTGCCCTTGATGCTATGCCCACTCCCCACGGTTGCAGCGTGCACTTGTCCCGTGGCACTTGTCCACAGCCAGGCCACGTTTTCAGTAGCTTGCCACCACTGGTTGATGACCTCTGTTTTGTTGAGCCTGAGTCGATTTTTTATGTGTGTATGTCTTTTATTTTGTTGTATTTTCGTTTGTGTGTCCTTTTGAGGTTTATTTTTAGGCCCTTTATGCCATTCTGTAAACAGCCCCAAGTGCCTGCGAGGAGATGGGCCGGCGTACGAGAATAACGTCGTTGTTGTTGTTGTTATTATTCTGTTCCTGGGTTATAAATGCCATTTCCTAATTGGTTCTGTCATGAAAACATGAAAAAGGTTTCTCAAACTGCAAAACCTTTGCCCTTGCAGGAGCCACACACTTTCAATGAAGATCTTAAGGTGCAGCTGCTTACCTACAAAGCCCTGAACGGTTTGGGACCAGCCTACCTGCGTGATCGCATCTCCGTCTACGAACCCACATGCATTCACTTCGGTCATCTGGAGAGGCCCTGCTCGTGATCCCACTTGCGTCGCAAGCGCGCCTGGTGGGGGCATGAGACAGGGCCTTTTCCGTGGTGGCCCCCCGACTCTGGAACGCCCTCCCCAAAGATCTTAGGCAGGCCCCCACATTGGCAGCCTTCAGAAAGAGCCTGAAGACCCGGCTGTTCCGATGTGCCTTTCCCGAAAAGGAAACCTTTCATTACCAAGTCCCACAAGCACTGTATTAAAGCCAAGACCGCCGCACACGGCACACGGCACTTGCCCATAAGCCTCGTTTCCACACCAGCACTTTTAACCCTTGCACCCTTACTCTGGCCGGGCCCCGTTTTGTTGTGCCTTAGTGGATTGTTCATGGCTTGTTGTTTTAAATTGCTTCAATTGTTCTAATTGGCCTAGGTTTGTGTTGTTGTGTT